AGAAGGGCAGCCACCCCTCAGGAGGAGAGGCCTGAGCCGGCAGGGTTCCAGACCCACGGTCGACAGCCGCGGACAAGGGACGCTGAAGGGGGTGGCAGAGACCCGCAGACGTCCGTGCCGATGCTGGAGAAGGGGCGATCCAGGCGGCAAAGGTCTCAAGGGGGGCCACGGCCGCTTATCCTCCCCAACGTGGGCACGGGACGGCCGGGAGGCAGGTTCAGGCTGAAACGCGCCGGAGATTTCCTCCCAGTGGGGTCCAGGACGCTCGCTTCCGACGGGGAGGCGCTCATGGCTGCGAGGCTAGACTCAGGAGCCTCCACTGCTGCGCCCTCCTCTCTTGCTGGCTCTCACTCACACCTCAGTGCCGCCTGTGCTCTCACAGGGCGGCCCCAGTGGGGGCACGGGGGGGGAGGAAGTCAGCAGGCCCCTCCCAGCACCCGAGTGCGACACGGCAGCGCAGACCCCCAGGATGCCTCCCCCTCCCCACGGAGGCTCCCCAGGGCAGAGGCGCTGCCGTGCCCAGAGGCCCCAGCCCGGCTTCTGTCGGAGGAGCAGGGCTCTTGCCCCACTGCCACCGTCTCTTCTGGCTCCCCTCCAGCAGGCGGAGAGAGCTTCCCTCTTCCAAACGGCCTTCCAGAGACTCTCTTCTGGCTGCCATTTCTGGAAACAGCTCTATTTTTTTCCCTTTTTGGGTTTTATATTTTAGCGTGATCCAGTAGCGAGCGTAATGCCCTTTTGCTGTGTGACTAAAGCAGGCCCTTACGGGGCGACCTCAGCAAACACACAGGGACCCCAGGCACGAGTGAAGTCCACGCTGGGCTGGCAGGTAGCCCTGGGCTCTTTCCCACGGCCTTTTGGGAGCTTCCACGGGGCGGTGGAGACAGAGGCCTTCAGCCACAGAGCCTGCTGCTGACCTGGCCTGCTAAGCACCCGCAAGGAAGCAGCCAACCCGCCCCCCCCCGCCCCCCAGTAAAGCCATGGGCTCCCTCTGCTGGGGAGAGAAGAGATCGGATTTATACCCCTGGCCCTTCACTACCCAGAGGAGGAGTCTCAGAGCGGCTCACAACCCCCTTTCCCTCCCCCTCCCCAAAACAGACAGACGCCCCCTGTGAGGTGTAGGTGGAGCTGAGAGAGCTCTTTACAGAGACTGCTCTTTTTTCCAAGAACAGCTCTTGTCAGAGCTACGGCTTGCCCAAGGTCATCCAGCCGGGTGCGAGTGAAGGAGGAGTGGGGGAACCAGACCCGGTCCTCCCAGATGAGAGTCCTCCGCACATTGAACCACTTGACACCCGACTGGAGCGAGAGATGGGTCTTCTACAGGCACTCCCAGGGAGAGGGAGCTTTGGACGCCAGTGTGCCACCCAACAAACAACTTACCCGGAAGACGTCGGCATGGTCCAATCGAGAGACAAGCACCAAGCTTTTGGGGGCAAAAAGCTGAGCGGGCGGAATGAGAGCTGCCACCTCCTCCTCCTCCTCCTCCTCATTCTTCAAACGGTTCTGAAGTTGGGGGTGGGTGGGTGATAAGACTCGCTCAGGCTGGGGCAGTCGCTTAGAGGCGGCCCATTACAGTCTGGGGCCACCCCCACCCCCTCATCCCCAGCACACCCTCTCCCCGAGACCTGGGCCTTTGCTGCCGTGCTCTAGGGGGGCCCCCCTTTCATTACCTGGGCGCTCTCAACCGCCTCCCAGAACGTGAAGCAGGCGCAGTAATGCCTCTCCGAGTTGATGTCTGTCAGGACAGCAATGAAGAAGGTTGGGGGGTGTCTCTCGCCGAAGAGCTGCCACCCACTCGGCTGGCAGAACTGCAGGGGGGGAAGGAAGGCAGAAGAGCCGTCTTAGAGCAGCGCAGGCCGGTCTCTTTGGCCCGCTGCACACGGAGGCCAAAGGCAAGCACTGGGGCTCATGGGGTGGCGCTTCCCCCACGGGTCCGGCTCCTGAGGCTCCTGAGGCGGAGGGGATTTCCCTCTGCAGCCCCCAGCCAAAGTCTGTGTAAGAGCCGAAGTCCAGGTGCTGCCACGGAGACGGGAGCGGAGCTCTTGTTCCTCGGCTGCCCCAGGTGTGGAGACAGAGTCTGGCCAGGAGAGCAAAGCAGAGGGCTGGCAGCCTGCTGCTTGTCGCCCGTGGTTCCCCGTAAGCCAGGCCAGCGGAGCCAAGGCTAGCCCAGGACACAGGACATGGCCCGTCGGCAGGGGCTCACTGCAGCGCCCACACATGTCAGGTCCTGTCCTGCACGCCCCCGCTCTCTCGCACCTTGGGCAAACTCCGCGACCCCCAGGCGGCTTGCCTTCAGCTGCTGTTCTTTGAGGGGGTCACCTGTGCTTTCACACCCACGGGACCTGAGCCTGCACAGCGCTCCGTGCCGGAGACTTCCAGAGCTACAGCGAGCTCCGGGAACACGGCTCCAGACCACCCGTGCTCCAGAGGGAGGAGGTGGGCCTTTCCCGCCCAGCTCCTCCTGACCTGAAGGCTCCGGTGGGGTCGCTGTGCCGCTCCGGTGGCAGCAGGACAAGGTCTGGGCCCAGCGGCACCTTTAACACCGACAAAGCTTTGTCCTGGGTATCAGCGGCCTGAAGAGGCGTGCGTGCACGTGAAAGCTTATGCCCAGAATAACACTTTGTTTGGCTTCAGAAAGTCCACGAGGGCAAAGGAGGGCACCTGCTCTGCTGTGGGGAAGGGGGACAGGCCACGTCAATCACAGAGGACCACTCAAAGAACTACAGTTACAAGCAAGCAGCCTGTTCTTACACCTTTGCCGTCTCTGTGCACCACACGGACGGGTGGAGATGAGCAAGCGGACCTTGCTGGAGACGGGTGCCGGTGGCCTGGAGGGAGGGGGGACTGTGAGCCAGCTCTGCCACAGAAAGCAGCACCACGTCGTGCGCACAGGTTGCAGCCAAGGGGCACAGTTCAGGCAAGGGGCATCGATTCCTCTTGCAGAAGCTGCAGAGGCAACCCCGTTGTGCTTGTGGAATAGGTGCCTCTCTGCCCGAGGGGCCAGAGCGTGATGTGCTCTCGCTCGCTGCAGAGCCGCAGGGGGGTCTGCTCGAGGGCTGTCCTGTCCTGCCCCGTGAACTGCTCCAGGACGTCTGCACCTCTCTCCTACCGGTTGCAGAGGAGGCAACTTGGGCTGACAGACACCACTCTGCCCGTGCTCCTCCGAGTCAGACGTGGTGCCGCCACTGCTCGCAGCCACTGAGCACAGGGAGGAAGGCACACGCAGCAACTTGCAAGCGAGGCGGTTTGCGTGGAGAGCACATGTCCCCAGCGCAGTCACTGTCGCCGCCACCCTGGGGGAAGCATCGGGAGTCAGAGCCAACGTTGGCCGAGGAGGGGTGGATGGTACTCCCCGGTTCAGGCCATTCGGGATCACAGCTGGACCCCTCTGTCCACAATCCCACGCTGGCCTAGGAGGGGAGGCACTCCCACTGACCTGCAGTCAAATGCCTGGAAACGCTCTGCTTTAAAGAAATACTTATTCAAAGGAGACATTAGATGCACAAGATAACTAAGGACGTGGCACAGGGGGGGAAACAAAATAAGGGGGGGGAACGGGG